CATAGTCTACTATAGTATTATATATATATATATATATATATATATATATATATATATATATAAAGAAAAACAAGTTTTGTTTTGTAATTTTTAATAATATTGTAGAAAAAAAATATTTTTTAATAATAGTGTAGAAACGATAGTACACCATAGTATAACATAGTACACCATAGTATACTATAGAATTTTTGAAATCTGCTGAATTATTTAACAAAAAGAAGAAAAAAAATCGGATAGTACACCATAGTATAACATAGTACACCATAGTATACTATAGAATTTTTGAAATCTGCTGAATTATTTAACAAAAAGAAGAAAAAAAATCGTAATTTCAAAAACGATGTTATAAATAAGAAAAAAAGATTGTTTATAATAATATAAAATAATGCAAAGTGTAAATTGAAAAAATAAAGATGAGTGAAAGGGCATTTTCGGAATGAATTTAATAAAGGACTTGAAGCAAATGTTTAGTTAAACTTGTCATTTAGTTCTAATTAGTTTTGTCACTAGGGACCTATATCTTAAGGCCCCTTTATTTTATTAGACCTAATATTATAATTATTTACCTTTTTGTCACAATATGTTATCACTGTAGAAATATTATATCACATTGATGCAACATGCTGACAAAAAAAAATATAGTAAAAAGGAAATTTATTAGTGGCGATTCATATTGTTGTAATATATATGTGTTCACGACAATGACAATATTTATTTAATTTATTTTATGTTACACTTGCTGAATTTATTCGTCCTACATTTATGCATATTGTATACATATCCACATACATTGTACCAAGGAGCCCAATAAAAAGACAAGTGATATGATGATAATAAAGAGAAATGAATTATTGGTAAACCAAAATAAAATATTACCATCTAATTAATTAAGCATTTAGGACAATACTTCATAGTCATGTTAGAGATCACAAATTTACTTGATGTGAGTTGAAAGCTATGTTGGTTTTAGATATGTTGGTATAATTATGATTATTATTAGGGGTCTTATGATGTAGGTTTCTGGTTATAAAATTAATTAGAACTAAATGACAAGTCCAACTAAATTTTTGTTTCACATCCTTTATTAAATTCATTCTAAAAATGCCCCTCCACGCATAAATTTGAATTTGTATTAAATAAAATTCAAACAACATTTATCTTTTTATTATGCATTTAATATCTTCATTTTTTCATCTAATAATATATTTTATTTTCTTTTTACCGATGTAGTCATCTTTATTTTTTCGTTTTTCACTCTAGCATTTTTTACTTTATTATAAGTAACTTTCTTTTTTAACATTTTATTGAAAATTACGGAAAAATATTTTTTCGTTTTTTTTTTCAAATAATACAGTAAATTTTAAAAGATACTATGGTGCATGATGGTATACTATGGTATGCTATGATATGGCATACTATGGTATACTATGATATAATATTCCGAACTTTATCATTCAACAACTCTCAGCCGCCGTCAAGCCCTAACTTCCAACATCTTCCAGCCACCGTTAAATCATAGCATCCAACAAAATTCAACCGCC